TTTCACAAATAAAAACAGAGAGGTGAATTGTTATGCCCCAAATGACAAAGATAGTAAATGCCCACTGAAGGACCTGAACATAACCTGTCTTATGATACTGGGACAAGGATAGCATCATGTCCTGTCCATTATTTTATGAAGCTTACTTTAAAAATTCTTGGGGTATTCCTGTGGCCTGAGAAGAACATGTTCACTAATTAAAAATACATATGACATTTTATACTAAGATGTCATTAATTGTGTTAATGACAGCCAGGTATGGTCTAGTATATCTAAAAAGTAATTTTTATCTGACTTTAAGCTTAACTTTCCATTTAAAAGAAATACTTCTGTCTTTTCCTACTATATTCTGCTTTGGATGTATTATAGGTTTTGCATCAATAACATTTATTATTGTTAACATAAAACAAGTTTATTTATTTATTTTAACTTAAAAAAAATTTTTTTAGGCGAGGCAACCTTTGGTTGACCTTACACACTGTAAGGACCTTGTCAGCTTACAATCCCTTATTTTTAATTTTTTATGCCTACAGCACCTGGTCTTCCTACGTGGTCTCCCATCCAAGTACTAACCAGACCTGAGCCTGCTTAACTTCTGAGATCAGACAGGATTGGGCTTGTTCAGGGTGGCATGGCCGTAAACAAAAACAAGTTTAAATTTACTAAAAACAACAAAAAAGGAACAAAAATGGAAGATAAATGTCATCTGAATACAGAGACATAGCTTTTGAGAGTTTCTATGTAAGAATTACACATGATGTCATGGATTATACTTAAAAGGGTCCCCGAAACTTTATAAGACTGTTCAGAAACTAGTACTATCTCGCACAGCAGAACTGCTGTCTGAGTATTCTATGTGTTTGGAACCAGTTGCTCTGGTGAATGCATTCATTCAACAAATACTGATTGAGCTTGCACTTATTTTATATTAATTGCTGAGCTACGCCCTGAGACCACAATGATGAACAAGATAAAGACCCTATCTAAAGAATCTTTTAAGTCCAGAGAGAGGAGGTAGATAAGTAAACAGGGAATACTTTACAATGTATACAGTGTTATGCTTGGGGGAGGCATAAAGTGGAATAAAAAACAAAAAAAAGGAATATTCCACTTAGCACTAGGGGGTGAGGGGGTGGGATCAGAAAAGATTTCCTAAGGAATCAATGTCTACTTTAAATCTTAAAGGATAAGTACGAATTAGCCAGATTGTTAATGAGGTAGGCAATATAATCTAATATTAAGAGTAGAGACTTTGGAGACAGATCATTGGGTTCAAATCTTGGAAATCTTGGCTGTAGAGGCTGATTATACTTAGGAAGTTATTTAACCACTCTGTGCTTCATTTGGAGGAATCAAAAGAGGATTTACACAAGTTCTCACTACCATATCTATCTAATCTACCTGCATCTATGCCCATATACTCTACTTTTCTGCTATTACTACTAGTGAACTTTCCATGGTCTTGTCAAAGGCCAAATCTTCCACATATGGACCAGATCCTGTCCCATCATGTCTTCTCACGAATTTTCTCTCTCCTGCATCATTAGTGCTTCCTTTTCAACTTGATCTTTACTATCACTATGACAAAACTGAGTTACTTTTCTTGTCTTTAAAACAAAACAAATCAAAACAAAACAAAACATAAATTACTCTCTTGACTCTACTTTCCCCTCCGGACACTGCCTCAATACTTGCCTTTCTTTACAGATAAATTCCTCATAAGCATTGTCTATACTCATTCTCTCCAAATTCTCTCTTGTCATTCTTTTTTCCTATCAATTTTTGTTCCTAACACTCTACAGAACTATTTTTGTCAGGATCACTGATTTCTCTGTTCTTAAAACAAAGAGTTAATTCTCAGTCTTCAGTTGACATGATTGATCACTTCTTGACATTTGGCTTCCAGCACATGACACTTTTTTTCTCCTACTTTCCTGGAAGCTCCATTTTTGTCTTCTGTTGTCTCTAAACCTTGGAATAGCCTAGGGGGTCAGTCTTTGAACTTCTCCTTTTCTGTTTACACTCATTCCCTTTGTGATCTCATCTACTCTCCAGCCCGAAATACTACTTATTTGCTATCAACTCCCAAATTTTATTTGCAATCCAAACTTTTCCAGTAAATTCTTGTTTTATATATAACTTAATATATCTACTTGAGTGTCTAATGAGCATCTCAAACTTGCCATTTCCAAAATTGATCTCATTTCCCCCCTAAATTTGCTCCTCCCGCAGTCTTGTCTCAGTCGAGAGCACCTCCATTTTTCCAGGTGAGGCCCCAAAGCTTAAGAGTCATCACTGACTGTTCTCTTTTTCTCATATCCCACATCCAATCTGTCAACAAATCCCATGACTCTACTTTTACAACAGATCAGAATGCAACTACTTCTTTCCATGCCCACTGTCACTCTGGTCCAAGTCACAATTATGCCTTGCCTGAATTATTACAAAAGCCTCCTGTCTCCATGTTTTGCCTATGCCTCCACCCCTCAGTCTCTTTCTATTGCAGCAGCCAGAGTGATCCTCTTGACTACAACTATTGTGACTACTCTTTTCAAACAGGCCATAAGGCTCTGCAAGATTGGGCATCCTGTTACTTTACTAACTTTATCTATTACTTCTCCTCTGGTTCTACTGCAGTCACACTGGCTTCCTTTTTGTTCCTTAAACACCTGAGCATGCTCCTGCCTTAGGGCTTTTACACTTGCTCTCCAGGAATGCGCCTCTGCTACTTATCTGCAGGGTGAGCTTCTTCTGCTTTTATTCAAAAGTCATCTTTTCGGCAAGGTTATTTCTTCACACTTTTAAAAACTGCAAAACCCTCCTCAACACTCTCTATTCCTTTTCTCTGCTTTATTTTCTGTGGCCATTACGATACTATATAGTTAGTTATCTGGTTTATTGTCTTTCTCCCTCCTATTCTCCCACTCCATAATGGGAACTCCATGAATACAGAGGTCCTGAATAGATGTTTACTAAGTAAATGAATGTAAAGGGCAAACTGTCTAATACATATTGTGGCAGGATATGCAGCTTGTGGGTACCTGTACCTGTATTCTGCTACTAATAGTTCATGAATAGAATATTCATCTGTACCTGAAAATTCATTTCAGATTCATTTGGTATTGATACTATTTAATTTAAAAGTTTTTTTCTCTTTCCTTTGCTGTATAGTGTTTTGTGTGTTTACTTATATTTTAATTTACTTTTTTCACAGTATGAATGTCTTATTTTTTACAATTAATTGATATGTAACACTATAAAAATAATTTTAGTTTCAGTGTTTGGTTGATACAGTTGTTTTAAGGGTATGCCTCACGGGATGGTTATGCTGAATTACTAGATCAGGATAGAGCCATAAAAAGCATTAGAACTTCATTCTAATTCTCTAAAAGTCTCAAAGGCTAAAATATGAATCATTACCCATTTGTTTATTTATAACTTAATTTATTTCTATAAACGTTTTAATTCTATACTGTTACTGGAAAAAATGATAAAATAGGTTCATTATAAGAAGGCACAACCATTATTCGAGAATTGCAAATGTAGCTTATAACATTGGAAAGTCTGTTAAAATAAGAAAGCTCAATTACTTCTAGAAGTGACCAGTTTATATTCTGTATTTCTCAAAAAGTCTCTGGTATCTACCTATTTTTATGTTCTTTTCTTATAGTTCTAGTTTTTTTCATAGGTAATAAGAAGAAATAGGAAAGATATTCAGGAAAATATTTACACTGACATGATGGAATAAAAGTAACTTAATGCCTATAGCTACCATATATAAGGTATCATGCCACACCAATGAGGAAGAAGTGGGTCTACTGCTTACAGTGTATGGCTGTATAACCTAGGCCATTTATTTATGCATTCTAGACCTTAGGTTCCCTATGTATTAAATGGGTAGAATTATACCATCTACCTTATAGGATTGTTGTGATGATTAAACAGTAAAATGATTAGAAAAGCAATGGCATAAATACCAGGTAACACTTGGTAAGTGTTAAGTGATTTTTAACACAGGTATTGGTATTTTAGGTAAGGTCTTTTTTGTTGCAAATAACAAAAGCTAACTCAGGATACGTTTCATATATTCAATATATATTTATTAAGCACTCACTATTTGCCTCCCTATGTGCCAGGCACTAGGCTAAGAACTGGTAAGGAAAAAGGGAAAATTTATAACATGGATATGAGTACTTGCATAGGCAGACTTGCAGTTGAACTACATTCAGAATAAAATGGAACTGGGAACTGGAAAGTTGCTAAAAACCTAGTGAATATTCTCTGTCTTGCTATATACTTCTCTTGGCAGTCTGGTTTCTGTTTTCTTCTTAGAAGATCAGCTTTTTCTACAACAAAGCTTAGATAGTAGATTGAAAGACAGCCACCCACAAGCTACCAAGTTCAAATGTTACTGTTCCAACCATTCTGAGAGACTGACTGCTACTGTTCTATCTCTCTTTGATCTTTTACCTTAATTCCAAAGTTTGATAGGGATCAAGTGTCCATCCTTGTCAAAACAGGGGGTCAGCTATCAGAGTCATTGTAAGTTGAACAGGTACTTCAAATAGTATCTACAGAAGTATTATCTACAATTTATAAAAGAGAAACGTAAGACTGAGAAGTATGAGTTACTTTCCCAAGTTCATGTGGGTAGTGAGTGCCAGAAACAAGACTGAAACCCTACCTGGGGTTGTGCTAGTGTAGGGTCAGCACATGAAAGTGAGTGTCTCTTTCAATTTTGCAACTTTGGAGCTTTGCTAGCCCTAGTCCCAGCTCTGCTAATGTTTAATAGGTCTTTTCACTACACACGTGTTCCCTTACTGAAATGTGGCACCTTCACAACTTTCAAAGAAATGCAATGTTTAAAAAAAGTTTCATGGATTCAGATTTTAAAAGTTTTTGCAAAAAGAATAAACGTGTAATTACATGTGCTCTTACTGATTTTGTATATAGTTAAACAATTTGCCCTCCAGAAGATATTATTAAAAGCAGAAACTTACCTTCCCATTCTGCTGGGATATTCCCTACTTCATAGTCTACTTCTCTTTGATTGGCTGCTTCTACAATTCTTTTCTCTCGAATAGTTTGTCCTATAAGACAGAAGCGATTATTACATTTTTAAATGAATTCATGATACAGTAGTTACTAGAAGTAATATTTACTTTTTAGATATTGCACACTTTCTTATGTAATAGAACTAATAGGAAAAAGAATAGATTCCACTTAGAATTAGGTATGCTAGAAAAAGTAATTTCTAAATTATCGCAAAAAATTTTAATTTCCTACTTGAAGATTCAAAACTACTTTTGGTAGAATAAATCTAGATTCTGCGTACAGAAAAAGGGCAACCAATTAATCTATAGGGCAGATAAAATCTGTAAGTCAATAAAAAAAATTGAATAGTTGACAGTGTTCCACTCCCTCCAACTCCGCAAGTACATATATTAGAGGAGCTACTTCCCAAGGGAATTGATACTCATGATCCCTACTAAGTCTGTAATGAACCACAAGACCCTGCTGCCACCCTGTCCCCTCGTACATCGGCAAACCCAAGGGAACCAAGTCATGGGTTGGGTTCTAAGGACCCTCTGAGTGAGTAGCTCTCAAGGGGATCTAAATAAAGAGGTAACAAAAACTAGTGAGTTTCAGGAATGGTGCCTCAGGTGTGAGATCAATATCTGGAGCAGGATGGTAGTAGCAATGTAGAAATCATGAGGCAGAGAGAGCAGTAAAGAAAAAGGTGGAGAGGGGTCAAGGATGGGATGAGAATACCTGTTACTTACATTTCTTAATAATAAAAAGTTGATTAGTGTGCATTTTAAGTTTGTATGGAAGGCATAAAAATATTTGGCATTTTGTTCTGTTTCAGAAAGTCTTGATTATAGCCTTCCAAGTAGGTTTGTCAAAATGTGGTTTCCAAACATGTTTGTTTTCATTAAACCTTGAGCCTGGGGAAAACATGTACCCTTTCTACTTCCCATTAGTTAACAATTGTGCCTGCCTACTCCAGGGAATGCAAACTGACACAAAGAAGACATTGCTAAGTAATGATGAGGGGAGAAGCAAGGCTTAACAATAATCGGACCACTCTTCCCACTCCTAGGCCAAGCTTACACTATGCTAAATAGATTGGGAGATATAATTATTGAAACTGACCTTGTTGCTAGCAAACCTCTCTGTTACAGTACCTAAAAATTCCTTCAATTGCAGACAAGGAAACTCCTGGGAATGACTATGCAGGAAAAGGGAAGCTACAAAAGGATAGCTTAAGAATACTGAGTGATTAAGTTTTATTTCCTCTTCTTAGTAATAGTAAGTGAAAGGCTGGGATTTTATAGATAAGCCATTAATAGCTAATAACTCAGAAGAATGGGGTCAGGGAAGCTCTGCATTTCATAGTGGGCTCTTTAAATCAGGCTGATTTAATCGTAACACAGAGGTTCCCTAAGTTTTATAAAGAGGCATTACCTTTCGCTTATCTTATGCAATAAATTTATAGCAAGGCTATAAATTTATTGCATAAGATATAGTAAAGTCCCTAGATTGTAGGGACAAGGGTCAGGATAAAAAGAGCCCATAACAATGACAGCTGCATTATTCTCATAGCAGAGGCTCAATATATGTACATGTATTTTTACTAAAATGCCATTTATATCCACATATAGAAGCATATTGTAATAACAAGAGTTACCATAAATTTAACATATACTAAAGTTATGATGTTTACATGGCAATTTTCAAAATGTTTGAAAGAGTCAAAATTTCTTCACATAGTCCTTTTCTAAATGCCAGGATATAAATATGTCTTTTTAGCAATAGCAATTATAGACAGGAAAACTATTGTATAAAATACAAAATGCTAACAAGTGGGCTTCTGAAAGTATGTGTGTATTCTATAAGCTTATAAACGCACATCAGTAGTAGTGGGGAGAGGAGAGAGGGGCCTACCATTCCCAGTACCACCACTAAATGCATATATATTCCAAGTATATCTATATGTCTGTGACACAAAAAATTAACTTTTTATTCCTACCCTCATGTCTAAACACTTAAGATATCCTAAGATTTTTAAATATCAAAAGTCAAATGTATTTGTGTGTAAACAGAAAAGCAAGAAGAGTAATTTGTGAGTTTAATTAATTCCTTGATAATCAATGAAAAAGCCTCTGTTTACAAATAGATGACATCAGAGATGTATAAAAAAGATTTGCATATCTTTAGAAATTCAAAATAAGACCATTAGTTTATTAAATAAACTCTGTAATCAGATATGGGTCCACCCAAAATAAATTGTTTTAAAACTCTATTCCTTGAAAAATATACTACTTGTACAATTTTAATGAACTGGGAATAAAATTTACGCCTCCCACTGAATAACTGTACACTTACTCATACTAACATACTTTCAATAGTTATAAAGACAATCCTACCTATCACAGCAAAAAAAAATTTATCTAGTAAAGAGAAAATTTAAGTACCTGTTCAAGTGTCAAAATGTTAGGATCTAATTTACGTTTAAAAATTAACTTAATAGCAAAAACATTTAATCTAATATATATATAGGTTTAATAAGAATAATACAAGAATAAACAATTGACAGTGAACTCAGTGAGTATTAAGTAAAACTGCATAATTGTTTAACTTAATATTAAACAATATTAGGCTTCATTAAACAGTCAAAAGTTTGAATTCAGGTAGATAATAATGGTCAATGGGACATGGATTTAAAGACTGTAGTACAATTAACTATTATTTCCCAAACTTAAAACATTTTGAAGCTAGCTGTCATTAAGCCAATTGCCCTAGGAGGATAGCAGATTTCTTATCCCTTTGTTTAGAAAAATATGGAACTCATTTAGATAAAAAAAAGAAAAGGCGTGATCCCTGGGTATTGGACAGATTTAGGTAAGAGACAGATCTCACCTGTTGTACTGGACTTCTGGCATAGAGTATGGGAGGGAACCCTGGACACAGATACGTGAAGGAGGATCTAAAGCAGAGAGTCCTAAACTTCAGTCACTCAAATACAAGCTTTGCAATTTTTGTCACACCATACAGTATTATATCCTTAACATTTTTCTTTAATTTGGCTTGCTTTTTTCTTCACTATTCACTTTTACCTTACCCTAAAAATACCCATGAAATCACTGACTTAATATACTAGTTGTATTTTGTGTTCAAACACACATAAAATAGACATATATCTTAAAAATTTAAAGGTTGTCTTTGTCCCCATAAGGTCATCATGCAGACCGCAGTCTGGAAACCACATTGGTCTAAAGAGACAGGCCCGGCCAACACGTATGGTGATAGAGCACAGGAACCAACACAGCAGTAAGAAAGTCCTGTGGATGGGAAGTAGCTGAATAAAGTCTTTGTTAACAGATATGAAAATTCAAGGTCTTGCTTGGATTATGTTTACCCTGCATTTTATAAAATCTTATGATATGTATAACAACCTTAGGTTTGAAAGAAGAGGGCACAGGTCTTAGAATTCCAAGCGTGATCAAAAGAAAAAAAAAAAAGCAAAAATTTATGGCATGTTTACCATGTGCCAGATGTTAAACTAAGTTTTAACTTTGTATGGGTAATTTCACTTATACTTGACAATTTTATAAGGTGCTATTATTACTTCATTTTATAAGTAAAAAGACCGAGGCTTGAAAGAACTTAGACATCTACCTCAGGTCACACACTAACCAATAGGAAAGAGGATCTGAACATAGACCTTCTGACTCCTTGCCCTGGACACTGAGCTATGCTGCCAGACTTTTAGACATCTACAAATGTCACATCTGCAAACATACTACATCTCAGTTAGTAAAATTCAAGGCCCAAGCTAACAGGAAAAGTAAATGCCATTTTCCAGAAGATTGAAAATCTATTTCTCTTCGAAAAGGAAAAACCTCTGCCTCTCATTAGGGTATTTTCAGAATGTAGAAAACACATCTTAAATCATTTAAGGTATCAATCCTTACAATCACTTAACTTTTAATAAACACTCACTGAAGAAAATCTGGAAAATACATACAGAAAAGAGAAAAAAATTAAAATCATCTATAACCTCACCACACCAAAAATCATCTATTAACGCTTTACTGTATTTCTTTTCACTCTTATCAGTATATAGATTATAAAAACACAAATGCTTACGCATACATACACATATGTGTAACATTAAAGTTAAACATTTGTCCCTTCCTACTACATAGAAAGTATGGTTTCTCATGTTGTTATCCTATAACTTAAAAAAATTAATATTCAGTTTCCAAACATGTTAGTATTCTGAGGAAGAAACTCTTATATGTGTATATAGTAACATTCCTTTTGTTTAGTTGTGTTTTAAATGTAAAGAAGAAAAAAAGATCTTGCCTTTAAGAATAGGCAACAAAGCAAGTTAAAAAAATACTAAAGAAAAATTTATGCCAATTATAGGATAAATTATCAGTTATGCTGTGCAAAAGTAAGTTTTACAGATTAAGGCAAAACTTCATGATCAAGAGAGAAAGAGATAAAGTACAGTGATCTAGTTCATATCCTTGTCAGCAAAGAAGTCCTCTCTTCTGAGAGACAAAAATCCATCATGGGAAAAAGTCTTCTGGCCCTTCCCTGCCCTGTCCCCGCTCTTTTCTGGAAGAAATATGAAGCAATACTGAGAGGAAGATACTTTGAGGAATCCTTTAAGTAAACAGGCAGTTACACTCCAGAGAAAAAGAGTTCACTGAAGACCTCAAGCACGACTGGTGGAAGGAGAAAGCCTGGATATCCTCTACTGGTATATCAAGTTTCTTCAAGAGAATAGTCGAGAATGTCTTGCTGAGAGGCAATGAACTGACCAAAGACCTAAGACTTTGATATTTTAAACACCATTTTTAGGATGTAGATTTTATGGTCAATCTTGTGATATTTTCTTTAAGAATTTAAAATTCATTTATTTTTTGAATAGGCCAGATAAGCCCAAGTGTGAAAGTCTCCCTTTATCATTCAGTTCTCCTCTCTGGTGGCAAACATGACAGCCAGTTTCTAAACTAATTTCCTAGGGATAACTTATAGATGTAGAAGCAAATATGTCTGTAGGAAGATTTTTCTT